TAGATGAAAATGAAAGTCCAATTGACACTATAGAGAAAGCGAAATTTATAAATAAGGCGACTGAAAATGAAATAACATCTGTAGAAGTTAAGGGTCAAAAAAGCTATCTTATAACTTGGATAAATAGCTATGAGTTGCGTGTAGATAATGAAAAAATTTTTAAATTTGAAGCACAGAGAGGACCAAATAAAAAAAAATCTTGCGGATTGTCTTGTAAAAAAGCATTAAACTTTTTTTTTTATTTGTATTCGCACCTGTAACAGCGATATATATATTTTTTATTTGTATATTCTCGTCCCGGCAATATAATTTTGGGGAATTTACAAATAAGGGCCTGAAAAGTGAAAATAATTACGGATAAGGGCCCAAATTAAAAATATTTACAAATAAAGGCCTGATTTTTGAAAAATATTACATATGAGGGCCTAAAATAAAAGCGAAACGCACGAAGCTCATTCAAGCCTGTGGCTTGATCGTCATTAATAAGTTTGTTATCATGCGCATAAGAAATGTAATCATTAATAGATAAATGATAGATTGTAAATTAGTAATCATAAATAAGAAATGTCTTTAACTTTGTAAATACAATAAATTTCATTTACTTTATATAAAATTGCTTATCGTTATAACAAACCATATCAAGTACAACACTAAAACTTGGAATGACATTTACCGATATGAAAAGTGTTCGCTCAGCTCTCGATAGTTATTCTGTTGAAACCTTTTTGCCTTACAAGTTCAGGACTAATAAACCTAACAAACTACTTGTTGTTTGTCCCATGAACGAAGACAGCGAATGCCCATTTACTGTTTCTGCTAACAAGTGTAAAGATGGGTTTATTCATATCATAAGGCTAATTAATTATGATCAAAATTGTCCAACTTTTTCAGAAACGTTCAAAGCCATGGATCATATCTTGTGAAATTTACTACACCATTAGTTGTGGACATACCAACACTTAAACCTAATGACATTATAAATCGTCTTCGCTCTGAAGTGGATGCTGAGGCATCATACATGAAAGCCTGGAGAAGTCGAGCTGTTAATAGAAAACGTGGTGAAGAAGAAATAGAAAGGA